TGTGCTTGAAGCTCAGATGAATGATGAAGGGACCCAGGAAATAATTCAAGTAAGGAATCAAGGAAAAAAGAGAGATTTCGGAATTCGAGAATCTGATGATATGCTTATGCAAGAAAGCAGAATGTATGTGCTAAATAATGCAGAGTTAAAAAAAGAAATTTTGGATGAAGCACATATTTCAGCATATGCGATGCATCCAGGAGGCACTAAGATGTATCATACCATTAGACCATTTTATTATTGGCCGAGTATGAAAAGAGAAATTGCCGAATATGTGAGTAGGTGTACCATTTGCCAACAAGTTAAAGCTGAAAGGAAAAAGCCATTTGGGTTGATGCAGCCACTTCCTGTTCCACAATGGAAATGGGAAAATATTACTATGGATTTTGTGTACAAGCTTCCTCATACACATAATGGTTATGACTGCATTTGGGTGGTAGTTGATCGGCTTACTAAGTCAGCACATTTTATTCTAGTGAGGGATAAGTATTCGTTAAGCCAATTAGCTAAGTTATTTATATCGCAGATTGTGAAGTACCATGGTGTGCCAGTTAATATTATCTCGGATCGGGATCCTAGATTTACTTCCAAGTTCTGGATAACATTCCAGGAAGCTCTTGGTACGAGATTGTTTTATAGTACAACATATCATCCTCAGACAGATGGACAATCTGAGAGGATTATTCAGACATTAGAGGATATGTTGAGGTCTTCAGTGCTACAGTTTGAAGATAGTTGGCATGATTATTTGGTTTTGATGGAGTTCGCCTACAACAATAGTTATCATTCGAGTATTGGTATGGCACCATTTGAGGCACTTTATGGGAAATCTTGTCGTACGCCTCTATGTTGGTCAGAGGTTGGCGAAAGAGTTTTAGTGGGCCCTGAGATTGTGGATGTGACTACTCAAAATATTCAGGTAATTAAGTCTAACCTAAAAGCGGCCCAGGATCGACAAAAGAGCTTAGCAGACAAGCATGCCACTGATCGGAAGTATGATGAAGGTGATTGGGTATTTCTGAAGCTATCACCTTGGAAATGTGTAGTACGATTTGAAAAGAAAGGAAAGTTGAGTCCTAGGTATATTGGACCATATATGATCACTGAGCGAGTCGGTGAGGTTACTTACAGACTTGAGTTGCCTCCAGAGTTGTCTAAGGTGCACGATGTATTTCATGTTTCGATGCTTCAACATTATGTTTCAAATCCTTCACATGTGATTCCTCCTCAACCTTTGGAAATTAATCCGGATTTGACTTATGATGAGGAACCAATGACTCTTTTGGATTAGAAGGATAAGGAACTAAGGAACAAGACCGTGCGTTTAGTGAAAGTGTTATGGAGAAATCATTCAGTGGAAGAAGCTACTTGGGAGACAAAGGATCGAATGAGAGAGATGTATCCATGCTTGTTTTATGATTATTAGTGGATGTATTTGTTATGTACAATTTCGAGGACAAAATTTTATAAAGTGGGGAGATTGTCACAGCCCATCCCAAATATATAATTTTCGACGATGTGGAATGACGGAATTGCCCTCGAACGTTAAATAATGTGTGTGAGTTATTATTGGGTTAAATTGTTTTAGATTGGTGACCCAATTAGAACTAAAACTTTTCTTAGTTTTGATTGGTGGCTTTTGGACCACACACACACACCTACCTTCTCTCTCATTCCCGTGCTCTCTCTCTCTCTCTAGTAGACTCTCTCTCTCCCTTCTTCGTACGGACAACTCCCAAACACTAGCTACCATTCACAGATTAAGGGATTTAAAATCACCATCGTCTTCCTGGTAACTCCACGAGTCGAATGGTACCTTTAGTTCGAGGAGAAGTTCATAGGAACTTGAGGAACTAGAAGCTTTGGTGTGAGGTACAGTACCTTGACTTTGATCGTGGTTGTTTTAACGTGTTTTAATGCTTAAGAAAGGTTCTAAACAACTTTATTTAAGTTTTTGAGAAGTTTTGAGGTGATTTGGACGTTGAGAACCCGAGAAACCATAACCCTGATCTTGAGTACTGTGCATGCACTAATTAATGCTTGGTTTTAGGAGTTTTTAAGCTCATAGGGAGCTTTAGGAGGTCCTAAGGAGGCTCGGAGTGATTCATTGGATAAATTTGGACGTCGGAAAGCCGTAATACAAAAAGTTACAGAGTGGCCGGAAATTCAAGCTTTCTCTGGCAAAATCTCGTGGGTTTTAGGACCCAACTTAGGTATAACGTTGTTCTACTCTTCAAGAGCTTTCATTTGGTTCAAGTTTCAAGCATTTTGGGTTAAAAATGGCCGAGATATAAGGTGTTGAAAAATTCTCAGTTTTCCGGTGACTGCGACGGTCGCCGGAGTTCAAAGGAAAAAGAAGACCGAATATTTCGTTAAGTAAATGGAATATTCTAACGGCGTTAAGTCACGTCGTTAAGTTTTATTAAGGAACAAATGGAATATTCCTGACAGCGTTAATTGACCCCGTCAATATGCTTGGCACATGGTCTCGCGTGGGGGGCGCGTCTAGCCGTGCCATTGTCGGCGCATAGGGGTGCGTAAGGCTTCCAAAAATTAGTCTAAAAATATGGGAATGTTCCTGAAGTTGTGTAGGTCACTGTGGTATATTCATATACCCATTTTGAGCTATGTATGAGAAGTTATTAGCTAGTTTTGTCTATGTGCTTTAAAATAACGTTTTTATAGTTAATTCGTATATAGGTGAGACTTATCCTGAGGACGAGCATATCCAAGGGCGACTTGGGGGCTACGACCCTTCAACATATCAGTGAGTGAGCTTTTGGTTTTCAGTATATATTATATACTTGATATTTTCCCAGAAAAAAAGGTGTTTAAATGATAGTATGCCTTAATGCCATGCATATAAGTTATAATTCATACATGAATTGGTATGTGATGCTTTATATATATATATATAAATGTGGTGCTGTGGATGCTCAGTTAAGCTCAGGTAAGTTGTGTTTGGTTATGTGAATCATCGATGAGGTAATATGTGATTGATTAATGTTGAGCTCATAAAATTGCACTTAGGGTGATTGTGATTTAGCCAGAGTTATGGCACAGACTTGTTTATTATGTCACCTCCCACACCATATGCTCATATTGGATCCAATTTTGGTGCACAGTCTTGTCATACAGACCTTTACTATGGTTCTGACTCGTAAGTGACCAGCTATTATGTGATAGTAGTATTGAGCATGATTATATTACACCCATTATTGTCGTATAGACCTTTTTGTTTGGTTCCGACTCTTGTGCAGTATATTGCCGTATAGGTCATAGTAGTGACTCCGACTAGAGTGACTTTTAAGCTATGAATTCAGCCGTACAGACTACCATAGGGGTTCCGACTCACATGTTATATTTCTATGAAATTATTTTTACCTGAATTGCTTATTCTATTATATCTTGGCATGGCATATACATGAAAATGATTATATGAATTGAATTGAATTGATATAATTTCATATATATTTGTGTATATGCTTATATCTTGATTCTGGGAAAAATTATACATGTTTTACAGCAAGGGGTTAGTTATGTTTATAAATGAAATTATTTTGTAAAACATTTGTTTTTGCCCACTGACGTTTTCTATTTTGCGCCCCTCTAGGTTTTAAGTAAGCTTGCTGTTGGTGGCTTGAGGATGTCAGCAGTTCTGACCTATCTAAATAATAGTAGGACATTCCTGGTACTGTATAACTAGTACTTGTCCTACTAGACTGCACCCAGACTTATTATGCTCTGATTAGGAGTGCTAACTTTTGTAACTAACTCCTATCACTTCCTGTTTAGTAGTGCACTCTAGTAATTCAGTTTTTAATTATTCGTATATTTCATTTCTTTATTGCTTCCACATTGTGCATATGGCTACGTCGCTCTCATGTGATGGCCAGCATGCCTTGAACTCAGTCGGGGTGTGTCAATGTCACATTATCAAGAGTTCTCTTTCCATTTCTTTAAGCATCCCTAGCTTTTCTTTAACTCAACTAACTTCATTATCGAAGGGCTTATGGATAAAATGCACCAAAGGGTTATATTGGTTAAAACCACTGCCACTCTTATGCATGTAGTTATACATCGGCTATGTCGTTCTCACACATTAGGTAATAGCGCTCACACATCACAGAACGATAATGGGTTTATGAATCCTGTACGCTTAAGTTTTTCTCCGGTCAAAATCTACTAGGATCATTTTCAACAATTATTCATAGTATTCTGCTTAGTATATGAAATGTAACTTTCTTTTTTTGGTCTTCTGAAGGCTTAATAGAACGACATCAAAGAATTGTAGAGTAAGTGATACAAGAAATTGAAAGTTGGAAGGCACTGAACAAAGTTTTGTCAATATTTCTTTTTAACATAAAATAGACCATTGTGTGATTTTAGCTCTTTGGAATAGAAGGATATAAGTTTTCAGGTTATACTAGAGAGACTAAATTTTTTAAACCAAATTTGCAAACCAAATGATGTGGTTGTTGATGATTAGATTATTACTTAAACGTTGATTAATGTGCTTATTTCCTATTAGTAACATATCATTTGATTTGCAAATTTAATTTAAAATTTTGGTCTTCCTAGCATTACCCTAATTTTTCTCTTTCACTCTTTCTTTCATATTTTCCCATGCTACTTACTAACAAAATTTTGGTAATTCTTAATTGACCTTTTCTTTATACTAGAGAAATTCAGCAACATAAACTAAGTGCTTGGTAGTATATTGGACGAGTAAAAGTGGAAATAATTTACACTGTTAAATCCTTAACTAATGATACATTACACTTACTGATTATTGTTTTAATTAGAGTACTAATTTTCACACTCATGTTTTTTATGCGCGCATTTAGTTTTTTGTTTTTCAATTTTCGTTTGATTAGAAGAAAAGAAAGTGTATAAAGACAAAGTAAGGGTTGGAGAAGGATGAGAACAAGTAAGGGTTAGACCAGGGAGTGGGGGGAAGAGGGTCTATTACTCTATTAGTTTTATGATGGAAGTTCTGTGATAGGCTACTAGGTCTGGTAGGCTCAATTCCTAATCAAACACAAAGAGGGGTCAGAAAAAAAATTAAGAGATTATTGAAATTAGAGAGGCTGTCCTTTGACTTCTGCTCTCTCTCAATAAATAATATCCCCTCAAAGTAGCAGTCACCATAATCTCTCTTCCAAGTCCATTGAAACAGAGGCAAAATTAGACAGCAAACTTCCATAACAACTATTCACCACAATCTATTTGTAAGGGTCTCTGTTCTTCTCTCTTGGTTACTCAGCAGTTTAGAGAGAGAGAGAGAGAGAGAGAGAGAGAGATGGGGAGAGCTCCTTGCTGTGACAAGGCAAATGTAAAGAAAGGACCATGGTCACCTGAAGAAGATGCAAAGCTGAAAGAGTACATAGAAAAATATGGGACTGGAGGGAATTGGATTGCTCTTCCACAGAAAGCTGGTAAGTTTTTTGTTTCTACTTTTGTTGTGTGTGTGTATTTGTGATACTTTCTGAATGGCTTTTTGGTTTGCAACTGCAGGTCTTAGGAGATGTGGGAAGAGCTGCAGACTAAGATGGCTTAACTATCTGAGGCCCAACATTAAACATGGTGAATTTTCTGATGAAGAAGATAGAATTATCTGCAACCTCTTTACTAACATTGGAAGCAGGTAACCTTTTCTTCAAATCCCATTTTCTTCCACAATTTTCCTTTTTTATATTTCCGTTCATATTTTCCACATGGGGTCCAATTCTTACCATTTTGCCCACCTGGGTTTTCAATGTAAAGAATAAAGAAAGTTTATAAGATGGGAAAATTTACATCTATCAGAGAACGTACCGTATGATTATATGTTGAAGAAATTTCATAACATGTGGGTTATATGGTTGAGGATGAAAGATTTCTTCAAGACGCATAGGTTTTAATTTCTTGTGTTCTTTTCTTGCATTATTGAACATTATATGTTTGAATTTCTTGGTCCTTTGTTTGAATTATTCAACATTATATGTTTTAATTTCTTGGGTTCTTTTCTTGCATTCCAACTTTAGATCTTTTGTGATAATTTCATATGCAGTCACACATTATTTCTTATGGAACTGAATTAAACCAATGTGTAGGTGGTCAATAATAGCAGCTCAGTTGCCAGGCAGGACTGACAATGATATCAAAAACTACTGGAACACCAAGCTAAAAAAGAAGCTCATGGGCATAAGCATTCTCCCATCCCAGCTGCTAAAATCTCACCCATCTCTTCTCCTTCAAACTTCATCCACATCCTCTTCGCCGTTATCATACCGAGGAAGCAACACCAGCACTACATTTTACACACAAACCAGGTCTTTCACCGGCACTTTGGAGCCCATTTCTTTTTCACAAAGTCTAATGAGCAGCAGTTCCATTAATTCTGCTCCTTCTGCTCTGCAAATCCCCCAAGAGAGCTTTGTGGGGAGACACATGCAGCAGCAGCATTATCAAGTCAAGGATAACATTTTGATGTTTGGAGGTGAAGCAAGTTGCAGCTCCTCTGATGGGAGTTGCAGCAACCATCAGATCACAGAAAGAGAGTATGAATATGGTGGTGCTTATGGCGGCCGCAACGGCGGTGCAACTAATGGGGAGGTGAAACTACAGATGGGTTTGCAAAATTATAATTTTTTTAATGGAGTTGGACGAGAGCAGAAAATTATGCAGAATAATTCCAGTGGAAATAGGATGTGGGAAGATCAAGCAGGATTGGACTATGGACTGGAAGAGATTAAGCAGTTAATTAGTAGTACAGGTAGTCACAACAACTTTTTGTTTGATGAAAACAAGACAGAGGAAAAGGTCATGATGTACTACTGATGATGCTGACTGTGTGAGTAAAAGATTTGGAGAAGGAAGGGATGGGCTGGAGATTCTCGGATCTGGAGAGAGAGAGAGAGAGAGAAGGGTTACGATGTTTATGGTGGGTGTGTGAATATATTTTTCTTGACAGTACTTGTTAGAAGTTTCCTTTGTGCATTTACTTTTTGGGAAATGATGTGTGTGTAAGTACAATTTAACTGTGCTACCATATTAATCAGGCACGCAGATGTCATGGAATATTCAGAAGAAAAAACCCATCACCTTTTAAAACCTGCAATCTTAAAAGGCAAGCATCACCATGTCCTCAGTATTTTCTTTCCACCCTAACAATTATCTCTTTAATACTTGTGCATTGTTCTTCTTCATAGTCAATCTCTGGTGAAACGAAAACTTCTCTGAGATTCATAATCTCGAATATTCTTATTTTATGCATTATAAAAACTTTCTTGTAGCAAATTTATATTTTTTTGGTGTGATGTGTAAGATAAAAAAATTATAACTCCAGAATAGATAAATTTTTATATGAAGGGGACTAGCGCCTTAGATCTTTATGGATATTATTGTCTTAGAATTTTTAATTATTTTGTGTTGTTGGATTTCATGTTAGACTTTAAAAAGTAAAAAGGACTTGATGTTAATCCCAATCTCAGTCCTAATAAAATATAGAACCAACAATATTATAGAATGGAAGGCAGGCAAAATAATATGCCAAAACACACATCTCATTGGCGTCATCAGTTACATCAGTTCCTTGCTTATGCACTGCCAATGGCACACGTAGCATGATCATTTGTCATGGTTGATAATAAACTGGTGCTAATTATTTAACAATTTTCTTCTTGCATTTTTTTCCTTAAGTTTTGTCAAAAAAGACATCGAATTTGTTCCATCTTGCATTGCATGGTCAGAATATTGGGCATAGGAGCAAATAGGAGTACTATTTTTCTTTGGAGGCCTTGGGAGTAGAGCTGATGGCGTGGGGTTAAGGCTATCTCCAACCAAGGGTTTGCCAAATGGTTTGTTTTAGTCCTTTGGTCATCGAAGAAATTAATATTTTAATGAATAGTACATGATCATATTTGCCTTCCTCTCCAACCGAGAGCCAAATAATCATAGGGCTCGTTTTAGTCTTGTCACAAAAAATTGTCTCCAACCGAGGGTCAAACATAATTTATTATTTAAAAACTACAACTTAAATTCAAATCCAACTACCAAGTGAAACAAATTATGTAAAATTTTGAAAAAAAAAATATGAAACAAATTTTGTAAAATAGAAGTTATAGGAAAAAAATGGAATTTAAAAAAAATGTGAAACAAATTTTGTAAAATAGAAGTTATAGGAAAAAAATAGAATGAAGTGAGATAGTATGAAATTGTGAAAATTATGTGAGAAATGGTGTAGGAATGGTTTAGGTATTTATAGCAAAAAAAAAAGGTTTAAATTCATTATAAAAAAAAAATTGAATACAACGGCTAGTTAGCTAGTCGTTGGATTCAATTTTTTGTTTAAGCATTCCTATTGGTTATATCCGACATGATTTTTTGAATTTCTGGCCACCCCCGGGCTGGCTGCATGCGCCCAGCCCTTTGGCCTTTTGGCCCTTTCAGATTCCATGGGGCCCACGAGCCCTCTGGTCTAGCTCTCGGTTGGAGACGATTTTTGGGCTATTTTCAACCTTCTGACCCTCTGGACCCTTCAGTTGGAGATGGTTTAAGGCTCAAACATAATCCAAATTTCAAAACTATTTTTAAATCATAGCAAGCGGTTATATATGGGCCAATATCTTAATAGATAGGATGTTGGATTTCTATCCATACGTTCTAGACTCGAAACTCTCTCCTCTCTAAGAATTATTGTAATAGTTTCGAACTTTCTTTCTTTTGTAATAATAGTAAATTTTTTATATAAAAAAAAATATCATAGCCTGCAGTTAAGCACGCATATTATCCTGTAGAGTTGTCTCTATTTTCAGTGGTTAATTAATTAATAGGCAAATAACATGCGGGGTGGGTGTCAATAATTGATCACACTTTTGATTAAGACTTTGAGGTTGTGAGAGGAGAAGATCCATGGTTGAATTAAAACAAAAAACAAAAAACAAAAACAGGTGGATGATAAACAAAGGAAATTGATTTTCACAAATTATATTTCTTCTGCTACAAGTTCATGTTCAGTTTTAGCCTCAACGGACATAAATGAACAAAAGTGAATAGAACGAGAAAAACGTAGGTAGAACTCGCATCTCATAAACAAATCCAACTTGTAGAACATAAAAGAATCTGTCTTCTAACTAGTTGTATATCTCTTTACATTTATATCTAATATTAGATAATACACAACTAAAAATAGCTAAGATTCTTCAGTAGAGTAGAGAGATTATTAAAGGGAAGTAGATGATATCTTTGGGGAAGGTTTGATGGGTTTTGCTGTTTTGTTTTCCACAAGACATACAGAAAGCAACGTTGAAGATAAATGCATTGCATTGACCTCTTCCAACAAATATTTTGTCTGCCTTCTGCTATTAGATTAGACTAATGGGTTTTGCCAGCTATAGGCATTATATAAATGGGATTAAACAATTATAATTGTCTCTAAACCAATGGGGAAGGTTTCTTATTAGGAATGTATTTGCTGGTGGAGTGAAAAAGGTAAAAGTCGTGGCACCACTGAACTGACCCATGAAATTTCCGAGCAACTTTTTGCAAAATTATTTCTTCAAATTTGGACTTTTGGAAGTTTATAGAGAGGGATATGTGGCTGATGATCAGTCTACTGTCCATAGGCATATTGATATTACAAATCAACGAATCTTAATTCTCTTCCAATCAGTTCTTATCTTAAGCTTTGTTTGGCCAATGACTCAAGATTTTAGCTAGTCATGTAGACGTTTGCCATCCGATTAGGGGTCTGTTATGATACAAATTGCTGATATATGTCACCGTTTCTTCTTCTTTTTCTCATTGTTTTGGTTCTATAAGTCTTAGCTACATGGTTGAAGCAGTGACGAAATTAAGAATTTTTTATTCGGACAGTCTAGGCTTAACCCCAATTTTACATCTCTTAGTATCCCTATATCTTTGTATTAAATAAACATGGTCGCTATAATATTTCTTTTTGTTATTCTGTGTGGGTGGGTGGCTAACATAGCGTTGGGAGCTGCTAGAGGCTAGAGCAGAGTGAACTAATTTGTTTAGTTACATTGAAGGGTGTGGAAACCTTGATCTAATAACTCAGGGCTATTTTAGTATTGTTGTAGTTTTTTTTTATATAAGCTGCTTATATTTTTCTTTGACAATAATTAGTTGAAAAGTAACTAAACACTAGTAAATTGTATTTTAAACAATGTTATAAGTCCGAAAAATATGTCCAGTGACTCAAATGGACATGATGTTCAAAGTTTTTTGTACCGTATTTTTTAAAAGAAATGTATTGACTTACATTTTATATCGTGGTAGGGTGGGGGTGTGGGTGGTGTCAGCAATGATGATGGTAGCAAATGGTGATAGTATCAATGTTGGCGGATGGTTAGTAACAGTTGTAATGGAAATAGTGTTGGTGAAGATGGTGGCAGTGGCAATGGCATGAATGGTAGGGTTGTGGTGCGGTGTAGGAAAAGTAATGGTGGTGGGGGTGGAGGTTCTCACGACAGAGTGGGTGGCAACAATGATGGCGATCGCAGTGGTGGTGGTAGATATTGCTGAGGTTGTGAGAGTGTTGGCAGTTGCAATGGTGGTAGGGCAAGTGGTGGAGGTTGTTAAGATGACAATTGTGGCAATGGCGGTGGTTGTGAGGGTATTGGTTGTGGCATTGGTGGTGGTACTCGTAGGTGGTTGTGATTGCTTTGTTTCTCAAGAAAGAGTGTATGGGGGAAATATAATAGAACCTATTGAAAATGTCATATCTGTTAAACCCCAATTAAATTTTTGTTGGTGGGTTTTGAATATAAAGGTTGGGATGGGGTTTCGGTGGTTGTAGGTTAAGCTTGGAGATGATAGAGGCTTGTTGTTCCCCGAATTTTTCCATTTTTTTAATGTTGTATTTGTGAATTTTTTTTTGTTTATTTTTATTTTTTCATCTTCATTTCCTTTTTTGAAAATTATTTTTATTATTATTTTAGTATCCAAGTAAGCCAAAAAGTGGGTTCATTGTTGCCACATGTACATTCAACAAAAAAAAATAATTGGGGCTTAATTGTTGGAACAAAATTCGCACACTGCCATGAGTGGTGGTTGTGCACAAACTTGAGCAACCTGCAAAATAGAAAACAACAGTGAGCAAACCTGAGACGCTGGGAGGGGGTGCCACCAAAGGCTCTCTAACGGTCAAGTTAGTGAATAGTTTTAGACTTAGTTAAGGGACAAGAGAATTAAAGTGTTTAGATTGTGTTATCAAAGATAAACTCTAAATGGGTATATTTATATTATGGGAGATAGACATTTTCAGGATAAAATCCTTGTTCTAAGTCGGGAGAATCATAGAGAATATCTAGAAGTAGATATTGCACCCTCTTAGGAGTTTGTGATTATTTATGGCACATGCCAATCCCTAGATTGTAGAAACTCCAAGACTTAGAGGACCTGATTAAGTCCATATTAGGATCACATCGCGGGTTTTGTGGAACAAGCATGGTATCCGACGGAATTGATTGGACTCTGCCTATTGCTCCGGAATAGGGTCATGGTGGCACCGCTACTATGTATGATCCAACTTCGCGTTGAACTGGTGAGTCTATGACTGGGTTTCTAAGGTAATTGTATTCAGATCAGCCTTACTCCGGCCTTGAAAAGCCATGGTCTCACAATTGCCCATTACCATTTATCTGAGAGGCAACTTGTTCCCATTGAGGATGGATTGTTACCCATAGACCATGCATTTCGGAGTACATTGGAACACATACCGTTTAGTCTTTAGTTTCTTGTGCGCTAGCCTAACTCTTGACATTAAAGTGGGGTAGTTGAGTTGCTTCAATTTCGCCAAGCAACCTCTAATCGTGCAAAATCAACTGCAATGGTGGTGAAGGCCTTCATTTCACAAGCATGCTCTTCAAAGAATCAATCACGTGATTGGCTTCGATTCTTGTATGCATCGATTTCTAGGCAAAGACTCTTCATTTGCCTTTAAATAATCACTTCTCCTTTGAGATTTTCATAGTCATCATTACTTCTAGAACATGAAACCTCTACGTTTCAACCAAAGTTTCCTTTCCATACCCAATTTCTTCCATGATCTTTTGATGTCCAAAAACCTTCCATGCACTTATCAATTTCTGACAAATGCAGCTAACTAATACCTAATTTAGCCATAATTCTATCCTAATGTCCCATGCTTCTTGCGATTTGTTCTATAACATTCATCCCCATGTAGCACTCTCTATGCCATCTTCGATGTTAAGTGCAATCTCAACAAGGTGTTGAGATTTCATAGTTGGTTTTTTGTCATTGCTTTCTCCTCCATCCTCTGCTTGTGGACGACGACGGTGGTGGATCTCCATCAAAATACTCGCCCTTAATGTGGTATCTTGCTCAGAACACAGCAAGATGGGCATAGTATGCAATTGATTTGGCCGTAGAATCTCCAATAGGATTGATGATTCTGGTCAAGTATGTTGTGTAGTCTTCAAAATCTTCTTTTGCCAGGGGTGAAGGCTTGTCTCCCCCAAACTGTTGTACCAACTTGAACCTTTCTATTAGGATTTTGATAATAAACATGTGCTTGTGTGAGTATTTACTTGTCTGTTGCCTTCTTATCCATGAAAAATTCCTAAACCCTAAAGTAAACAAACTTTGAGAAATAAAATAAGCAACATAAAAGAATGTGAGTAAGTTGTGGTTGGGGACATAGCTCAAAACCCCTCATTCTGATAACGTTGATTTGAAAAAACATTACCTCGCAAACTTAGCATCCATAAAGTATTCTCATCGAGATAGTCGGAGTATCACCTTAATCTGGTACTAGGAATTAAACATTAAATCCATGAAGAATCCCTTGCTCCGTGCTCACCTAGCTACACATTTATTGGATTTAAGAAGTTCACACCATATTTGAAACAACTTGCAAGGAGAAAACTAATAACAATTTTTTACCTTGCCCAGGTCTTGGGTCAAGGATTTCAATACTTGCAATGTAGTCTAGGAGGGATTTCTCTTTCTAGACTGGATCGCGTGTCCATCTCCAGTGAATCTTACATAAAAGTTCTTTAGAGACTTGGTCGTCGACAAAATTTTTGAATCATTTTGTCAAACCCAATGCACCTGAGTGTTTTCGATCGGACTACCTTGACTAACTTAGCCAAAGCATTTCTGCGTATCGGAGCTCCATTGGAATAAAATTCCTCTTAGGTAGTTCCTAGTCTGGATGCCTCTTTGGGACCTACTAACATACGATCTTGCAGAACATACTTGACTTAGTATGTTGGTCTGGGATAGAAGTAGTCGTACTCAGAGTCGGAGTTCAGAGCCACCTTTGGATGACTTCCGGATCACCCTTTTGACTACTCCCTCGAATGGCGTAGAGCCCAGATTTGAATATTATAACCCTCAAATTTGCTAGCTGTATAAATTTTCCGAGGGCCGGATAGTGAAGAAAAATAATACCGAAGGGGGGCATTACTTTTGCCATCACCCTCTTCTCCTACCCTCAAGACTAAGTCCAGTAGCATAAAGTGGGCCAATAATGGCGTGACAAATGGTTTATAATTTTTCTTACCCTAGTTTGTGGGTCGTTCCGCCCTTCACTGAAAATATTCTCACATCGCTCATCGGACACTAATTTGTCAATGTTCCATTAGACGATCTCCAATGCACAGGGCCTAAGGTCTAAAATTTTGTGTCCTAAATTTTAGGATTTAAACCTAAAGCAGTTTTTTTCCCCAACCAGCTTTTTTGGGCTTACAATGTAATATTTAAGCTTCACGCATGGTCATACTATTCAACTTTATAAGCATACAAAATATTTGGTGATTTATTCAACTTTATAAGCATTTAATTATCCTCTTAAGGGTGATTTTCGGAAGGAACAAATTGGAAAAAGGGCTTTAATTTTTATTTCAAACTTTTTGGATCCAATCAAAAATTTTAATTTGAACTTTTCAATATCGAAATTATCTCGAATTTTTTTGAGCATAATTCAGAATTCAAGTATTTTTCAAATTTTTATACATTTTCGTATATGCAATTCATTGTTCTTTTTTAATATTTCAAACATGATTTTCCATAAATACAATTAATTTATGAATTTTTAATAAATCCAATTAATTTAGTATTATAAATTTTAACATATAAGGGTATGATTAAATATAGAAACAATGAATTTATGAAATTTTAACATTTCAAACATGATTTTCTATAAATCCAGTTAATTTAGTATTATATATTAGGTTTATAATTTTAACACATAAGGGTATAATTAAATATAGAAACAATGAACGTGATAAAAATACAAAAATTAATTACAAAATACACAATTTTAGTAAATAACAATAAGAAAAATTAGAATTTTTTTGAATTTTTTTTTATCAAAACAAGTTTGAAATAATTGGAAAAAATTCGTACAAGAAATTACGAATTTGTGAACTCCCAATATTATTTTTAAATTTTATCCTATTTTCTCGACAATATTTTGATTCGAATAAAAAAAAATTCATACTTGAAGGTAGAAATTCCAGTTAAACTTGCACCCCTACAACCTCTGACACATATTAGCTATGTCTAGTCTTTTCTTAACAAAATATAACCAAATATTACCATTCTTTTAACAAGCGATATTTATATTTGGAACCCTCTAACGGGAGTGTTGAGGGTTTGAAGCACATTATTCTAAAAACCAAAATAGAAGGGTCCAAAATTGCATGATTAGTCTTGTCAAAGCTAAAACCGAATCTCAAATTAAAGTTGAAAAATTAAGTGGGGTCTGTAATCTTTTGTTCATTTCATTCTCTCAAAATATAGCTTTCATTACTTTGGTCTAAAAAGAAAACCTTTTAAGATCACAAAAAGGATTTTGAAGTACAAAATTTGCATTGACCTTTGTTCATCCAGAGCTTCCCCTGTCATCTTAAAATAGGCATTTAAGATAAAAGGCCTTCCTCAGTTCAGATACACTGTAACCGGGCGAATCTTGTCCATTGACACAATGCTACGTAAAATGTTCTTTGTATGTGACATTGTATGATTAGTATGAAACGCCACAATGACAGTGCACCATGTAAGCCGCTCTCCATTAGTTTTCTGATGGAGGAGTTGTTTAATGTAGCCAAATAATGGTAAGAAACTGGAGACGGCTGATTTGATTTGGAATAAAACAATATTATGTACAACATGCACAAATAATGGTAAGGAAGGGATGCTAATCTTTTGTTTTTTTTATAAGAAATCCCATTGCCAATAAACTTTGTCTACAATTCCTCCGCCACTCTTTACGGCAAGGTGAAGTGTTTCAGCGGCAGGAGGGACCCCCCAAAGTAACGGCACTGCAACCGTCATTCTTAGCTTCTCTTGCAAACCACCTTTCATGGCTTTCTCTGCAGCAACAACCTGAAATTGAAATTGACAAAACCATAACTCTAAAAAACAAAAAGCTTATCCAGGACTCCGGTCATCAGAGATCTGGCATTCTTAAAAAAAATTAACTGGCTACATACGGAGAATTTAGCCACAATGTCAAACATGCAAAATAAACATCTACGAAACAAGATACAGTGACCAGCCCAGGAGCGGAGAAATATGTCTACTGGAATGACCCTTTCCTAGAGTAGGCAGAGTGCTTGCTTCAGCTCCAGGTACTAGAGCCAAGACCCGGAACCATTTAACCTGTTCAAACACCGTTTACACTTTTTCCTACCCCACTTATATTTTTTGTTCACTCATTTTCTTTTGTTGTCCCCAGATACTAAGCTCATTTTCCTGCTGTACCCTCGTCTCTCTTTTTTTTCTGTGTCAATTATTGAAGTGCTTCCATCTTTCCTTTCCTTCTCAAGGAGTGGCTAGTTCATCTCATAAGTCTAGTTTTGTGTAGTAGTTCAGCTGTACAAGAATTCCATTAGGATAATCTTCCATAGTCACAAAGCTTCTTTTAATGGATTGGCTACAATATGGAAGATTAATCACTTGGAGCATCCGAGTACTTTCCAAGTATAACCTAACAATTAATTTCCATATGGAGCCACCATCACCGTATAGGTGGTCCTTGCCATCTTCACTCCCCAGGTAAGAAGATTCTTGAGTGGTGAATGTTTGCAGTATCAACCCCCCAACTCTTATTAGCATGCCATCTAACTTAACTGCCGATGGCAGTTATTTTCTAGTTTGTGATGATGGGAACTTTACCACCATTCACAAGGTTTGCTGCTTTCTTTTAGACCGTACCTCCACAGAGAATGGGTACAGGGAAAGCCATCTTGTCGCGAAACTTGTATACGACCACCACTGGTAAAATGTCACCAGAGAACATTCATCTCGAGCAACATTGTTACTAGGGAATATAGCTTCTCAGGTTCGAAAGGTATTAAAGACTAACTTACTAAGGCAGCAAATTTTAATCATCTTTCAAATAACCTAATTTTGTCCAAAAAGACAATTTAAGGAATTAAAGAAATCTGTTTCCCTTAGCTCCAACCAGAATGGACAGTGATAATTCTTACCTGGCCCGTCACTGGACAATTGTCAATGGCCTATATGATATGTACATAGTAAAATGTTTGCAGTGCAATTTGCTAGACAAACCAAAGCCTAATACAATTTTGACCAAAAGTTGACCAGTCCAGCTCCCAATCAGACATTGAATTTACAGCTATTCTGGAAAACCCTCTATTTCCAGCTCTTGAAATAAAACATGTATACAGAAGTGAGAAACTAAGAACACACTGCAATAAAGATATGAAGAATTCAACAGAACTACACAAGAAACACATAAATCATTTTTTCATAGGTGATATCAGTGGGCCTCTTAGACAATAAAACAAGATGAGTTTTGGAGCCTAAGATGTCTTGAAAATGATTCTCTAATACTTAGACCATAAGGCTATGGAAACGGAGACAAAGTATTGAAAACAAACACATAGGTTTAGTTCTTGATGACAATCAATGTACTGAAATGATTCTGAAACGAAAAAGAATCAAATGGTAAAATGTTTAGAACATGGAGTTAAAACATACCTCGCCACCGTGTTCCAAAACGGTGTCTTCCACAACATCGCTTAGCATCTCAATGGAACGGCAAAAGCCAAAGATACAAAGTCTCCTGCCCGTATCAAGGCCCTGGATAACAAATTCTCACATACATAAGACTAGATCAAACACCCACCAACATTGTGGTTTGTCACAAGGAATAGTAGTAACGAAAGGATTGTATACATTTGTCTCACATACATAAGACTAGAGCACACAACAAAATTGTGGTTTGTCACAAGGAATAGTAGCAAGGAAAGGATTGTATACATTTGTTGCTGCAATATCGAATAGAGCACCCAGACACAAACCCTGCTCTGTGTCCATGTAATCACTCTCTTTAAATCTCTGAAATCTTTGATTAGTCTTTGACTGACCTTGCTTCTTCTGTCAAGCATACACACTCAACTAGATGATTTAACAAGAAAATTCAGTACAAAAAGGGGATCCCAAAAGAGAGAATGAAAAAAAAACTATATCTTTCATACTCATTAGAATCCATAAGGAATATAAGGCCTCATTTGGTGTCTACGATTGGAATGGATTCGACAATTCACTAGATTCAATTTATATTATAAGGAAGAAGTGCATACGACTTCCATATTTACTCCAAGTTGAAGATAGAAGATGCATTTATCATCAACAAAACGTATCCCTTCTGATCATAACAAAACTAGTAGTATTACGAGCAGTGTTCTAAAAGTCCCCACCTAGCATTGCCTACACCCTACCTAGGTGCTAGGCGGCTGGCCACCTCCACGATTAATCCCTAGGCATTTGAAAAATAAGAAAGGGAGCCTAGGTAGGCCTAGACCTGCCTGGGTTCCTGCCTAGCCACCTAGCACCCGCTTAGACTGCCTAGGTCGCCACTCTCACTTAGACAAAAAATAGATAACTTCCATTTACATTTTATTTTTTCCATAAATTGTAAGAGACTTGTTAAATACTTGAATGAAGACTCATTATATGCTTGTTCCTCATGTTCTCAATATGTTATAGTACTTTATAATTTATATATCATTCTATTTTCAATTTATGTATCCCTATACAATTATGTATTTTTTTTAAGTATAATTAGACATATATTTATATTTTATATGATAAATTTAATTAAAATTAAAAAATTGCCTAGGGCCCCGTCTAGACATCTAGGCGCTAGGCACTTGCCAGCCGCCCGACTAGCGCCTTTTAGAACCTTTGATTACGAGGGATAAGTTTCCTTCATGACTGATCCCTCTTCTACCTTCAACTTTGACAAAATTTGGAATTTTAGATCCATGTTTTTATTCAACATATGCTCTACAGTGATATCTAATCCAAACAAGATTCAATAATGATTAATCCATTTTCTATTAGTGAATTATATAATTAATCCGAATCCTAGAACCCAATCCAGGCCTAATCGACGAAAAGTACTATTACATTAATTATCTGTTAATACAAAATCAAAATGGTAAATATGGAGATAACATACATTCGAAGAAGTGAGACGTCGAGGGACCATGGAGCCTCCAATTTGAATTAGTCCATCAGAAGTGAACAATGTGACTCTCTCTTCAGGAACCCATTCAATTTTTTCTGCCAAACATGATCACACAGTTAAAACTATTTTAACAAAAAAAAACCCCGAAAGATCAAACAGTAAAAGTAACACATATAATAATCAGGAATGTTAAATTAATAACCCCATTAGCTTGGAAATTATACTTTTTAATTACATGTGAAAATGATGTGTGCGTTATTAAGATGGGTACCTACCAGAGTCATTGGACCAAGGAAAGAAGCCGAAGAGATCGTCGGGTAAGGAATTGGACGAATCGGAGGACGATTTGGCGGGAAACCGGAGAAGGCGGGAGGGACAAGGGTGGGAATTTGGAGATTTTGGAGGGAAATCGGTGGAGAATGAAGAGAAAGAGGAGTCTTTGGCGCGAATGAAGGAGAAGAGGGAAGTGAAGGGTGAGAAGCAGAGAGCAGCAGAGGTTTCAGCCATAGGAGAGGGAGAGGAATTGCAGAGAGCCAGAAAGAGGAGAGACCGAGAATAAAAAAATGGAAAGGGTAAGGAAGCGATTTTGACGCCACATGTAATGGATGGCCACGTGGAGGTACCGGACGTTTTATTAGTTGTCAGTTATGTTTTTTCCCCCCCTTTTTGCAAGGTTCTTGCAACTCACTCGGTAGGGTTGCGTTTTTTGTGTTTGGTATTGTTTTTGTGTCATACATATTATCATAATGAACTTTATCATATCAAAACATTATCTTAATAGATTGAAGCACAATTTGTTATTTTTCGTTTCGTTTCGAATTAACGAGTCATGCAAGAAAGTATCAAATCTAATATTAGATCAGACAAATAGATCACATTTTTTGTGTCATACATGTTATCTTAATAAATCGTATTGTGTTAAACCCATAATGGGTTCTTACAAGGGACCAGATAATGAGCCGACCAATTAATGACTCAACCCAAAACTTTTTTTAACCCGTTAACATGCTACATTGTGGAGAGTAACATAATTAAGGGGTTTTTGAAATTTAACTCTTGAAAAAGGTTGAAATTTAATAAAAAATGGTGTTAGATAACATAGTGATTATAGTCCCTCAATGTGTACTTTAATTCAAATTTTTTGCAGTCCTATTAGATTAAGAATGTGATTATGTAAATCCTATCATATTTGGGATATTCTTATGAGATTCTACCATATCTCGTAGACTAGTTATTATCCTATTAGAGTTGTAATTCTATTGGGGTAAGGAATTTACCTTCCATACTACTATAAATAAAGGCATAATGGGGTGGAATAACACACACCTCACAATTACACCTCTTTATTCTCTCTATGCTGCTGCACCCCCTATCTTTATGGCCTTATATTATTCAGTAAATTATGCCTACAACACATTATCAGTACATTCTTGCTAGAGGCTAAGGAACTGAAGGATTGCGGATGAGGCTTTGTTCTACAAAATTCAAAAGCTTTTATTTGTTTTCTACCAATCAGGTACGCTTAAAATAAAGTAAGATATTTGAAACATCCACGAAGCATGAAAACTTTCTTCATGATGCATGAACCCCTATATTTATATTTACCTTCCGATATATATATGTACACACACACACACACACACACATTTCATGCATTACGCAATTATTATTTTGCTATGTGGAATTTGTAGTCAAAGTATCGAGCCGAGCCCCATCGTTGGCCTGTAGCCCAGCCACGTGAAGCACTTTGGGACAATGTCGTTTGACTTCTGGACCACATGGCAGTAGCCCTTTGGGCTTTGCTGCACACGCAAGACACACCAAGCCTTTGGCCTGGTAGGGTTCCCACAGGCCTACAGCCCCAGCCCAACCCAAGAAGGCCTGTAGCTTTCTTGGACTTGTCTATCGTGTCCCTAGCCCAAAACCAGCAGCCTCATGATGCTGGGCTTTGTCCCGTGCCCTAGGCCCGCATGCAGCAAACCCCAGATGCTTGCTGGGCTTCGCCCACCACTCGGCCTAAACCTCCAGTTGCCTATGCTGCTGAGCTTGCCTAACCCGGCCTAAACTCGAAAGCCAGCTTTAATTGGGCTTTTAGTGCCAACTCATAAGCCAGCCTTCGGCTGGGTTTGCTTATGCGCCTTGTTTTGGCCCAAACCAGGAGCTGTTGTTGCTGGGCTTTATCCAGGCTCGACCCAATAGCCTGCTATAACTGGGCTGCACCCGTAACGCTCCTCGAGGACCAATGGCCTGCAACTATGCTGTAGGGCCTTGCCCGCACCACAACCAACCGAATAAGGTTGGGCCGCGACATTTTTTCGACCCAATGCCAATTTTTGGCATTCCCGCATTATAAATCATACCCATTTAATTTTTTGGGGTATTTTGGTTTACGACAATTAATTTTTAATATAATTGTCACTTGGCCTATCACCAACCGAAGCTAATATGACCCGTCTGTCATTATTTATTTTGCTTCAACGATTGATTCCGTTTGGTCTCGATCTATTGAATTAATTAAAAGTGACTAGTAGTCCATTAATCTGATAATTAATCCAAAATTATTGACCTGAAGATCACTTTTTGGACATTAATGATTCAATAATTTATTTTTCTCCTTTGAACCATTGACATCCTTTTGTAGTCCTGAAGCAACTCAAATCCACTACACTTACATCAACATATTGTATTCGATGTTCTTGCAAGAACCTCTCCTTTATGAACTAATCAGTCATAAAACTAAATTGAACATATAGTTTCAAATTTAGTGTCTTTGAAATCCGAAGTTTTTCATAAAACAATATACCCATGAAAACCTGACATTTTTCATGTAAAAAATATCTTAGAACCCGATTGTTCTAACATTGATGCTTATGGATGCTTTATTTTCCCATAGCACCAATCACAATCTTGTTCCCTCTATTAAGTGGATTGTTAAACTATCACAAGTTCGATTTCACTGATTTGGACGTTTCTAACAGAAACCACTTTATGTGGGTGATAGGAGCATATTTATGCGACTTAGTTAGCTTGTTTATTGGCATTTATGTTGTTAGTTCTTAGTTATTTTAGTATTTTAAGCTATTTTCATGTGTTTGTAGGTCCAAAAGGTTAATGTGGCAAAGAAGTGCATTTTGGAGCATTTTGGGGCATTTTTGGGCATGGAATGGATAGCATATGCTTGGAGCAAAAGGAATGGACGAAATTTGAAGTTTGTGCATCATCCTCTCCCTAACCATTTTAGAACACTCATTTCACCCAACACATTCACCTACCACTACATCCACTCATTACACCCATTACATCCACCCACTACACTCATTACATCCACTCATTACCAAACACTCATCCACTACACCCTACACCCATTACATCCACCCACTACACCCATTACATCCACTCATTACAAACATTCATCCACTACACCCATTACATCCACTCATTACCAAACATCCACCCACTACACCCATTACATCCACTCATTACCACAACACTCACCCACTACACCCATTACATCCACTCATTACAACTCCATACACCTCTCTCCCTAGCCTATAAATACATCCACCCTTCACCATAATTTGGGGGCCATCATCCAAAGACACCACATCATCTACACAACTCTCCACCCTTCACCATAACTCACCTATATCCATCCACCACCACAAGAGACCATCCATTCACCACTCACACCTTGGTGCCGCATATTTGCAAGGAAGAAGGATTGCTTGGAGTTGTGCTAGTCATTCAATTTGGATTGCTGGAGCATTCTAGGTGTATTCTACTTTGGTTTTCAATGTTTAATTTCAATTGTTTCTGTTTAATTGCAAGTATGAGGAACTAAACCTCTTTTGGCTAGAGGAGAATTCGAAACCATGAATATATTTGCAATATGAATTGATTTCTTCCAATTGTGATTTGATAAGTTGAGATTGCAATTCAATTATCTATTTTATTCATAACGGATTTGTGTATGTTTATTAAGGATGCATACTTAGTTTTCATGCATGAATTTGATGCTAGGATATAAATAAGTTTCACCTAATCGTTACAAGTTTATATTCATGAGTAGTGAAGGTTGCTTGTCACAATCGCGTTAATTGAATTCTTGGCAAACGTATCATGCATTCATAGTTACAATTGCGTCGTCAACGCTTATGATTTTCATGGAACTTAATGATGTTTAATTGTATCTCTATTATGCATTCATATAGGGGACTTTTAGAGAATGATTTGGGTTGTCGCATGCATTCATCCAATTCAATGAGTAAAGGAAAATTTGAGGGTTAATTTGTGCATCACGGTTAATCTGGGGTGTTGAGCATCATAGTTTATTGAAAAGCAATTGGAGATTGATTTGTATGCAAGTGTGTCATGTGTGGAGAAAGACCTTCTAGCTAGCCCATCATCTATCCAAAACAACCAATTTCGTGCAAATCTGTTCAGTTCTAGTTTCTATTTTGTTTTACTTTATTTTCGTCCAAAACCCAATCCCCCTTTACTTTAGTGTGTCTAATTAGTTAGAATCTGTTTTAGTTTGTGTTTTTAAGTGTTTTAAGTCTATAGAGTCTAGTTAAGTGTTTTTAAGTTTCTTTTTGTAAGTCAGTTTAGTTTAGATTAGCAATCCCTCCTAATCCCCGGTTCAGAATGATCCCTACTTATACATATACTACAATTGTCAAAAGGGTTTAATTTGAGTGCTTAACTTTCATCACATCAGTGGGTAAAAGACATGAATCTCTACATGACTCAAGAAGCTGAGAAACCATTAAAGCCAACAATGGTATGAAAAAGCTGAATAAGCCTCCGCCATGATCTTCATTCAAAGAATTATGCTCAAAGCATTACAAATGGAAGTGTCTCCTGAACGAGAATTTCATGGCTTTTTGGCACGCTCATACAAACTGCCTAATCATGAAAGATATTGCCCGAAGCACATCATGATTACGTCCATGAATGAGTACGATTCTGAAGTTTATAATTCTGATCGAATATTGACTGGAGAATATTTTCCTCGTTCTTCCATGTTTCTAACTTGTTCTTGAAGTGGCATTGTAGAAAACGAAAGTTTACTAAAATTCTTGGATCTAATTACTACCACACTTGTGAGAGAAAGGTACTCCAACAATTCAGCTGGAAGGTACCGAATGGTATAAACCCAGTTTCGACTGGAGTCTACCAAATGGTGATGCCCTGCTTCGGTAGAGGTGTACCGAAGGGCGTGCTTTGCTTACATAGAGGTGCACCCAATGGCGAGCTCTGCTTCGAAAGAGGTGCACCAAACGATATTACTCTGCTTAGGCAGAAGCTTACCGAACAACCCCTCCAACTTCGACTGGAGTCTACCGAACCCAAGTCTGGGTCTATCTTTCTCACAATCCAATTTTGAGTTTGTTTTTTTACAATATATGGTAGAATCAGGGCCTACCAAGATGTGACATCACGCCTGAAGTGTGATCTTTGGCACCTAAGACCTAAAACTTCAAGAATAGGGATAGTATTCTCGAACCTCAACCTTGCATAATCTACTTCCATCTTGATCGAAGAGATCATTGGTGATGCATTTATTT